ACAGGTGAGAATCCAAAGTTCCAGAGTTCAAATATTCAAGCAAAACAAAACCAGACCCAAAAGAGTTAACTGCTCTGTTTTCACAGTCCTTGGCAGTCTTCCTAAAATCTGTCTGGCAAGTCTGAATTGTCCATAAATCATGACGGCCACTTCAAACGTATTCTTCTGAATCCAAAAAGCACTAAAAATCCACTTTGCTTCGAGTGGGGGGGGGGAGGCGTTAACATGCTCCTTATATATCCCCTGAAGGGGCATGTCAGTCTCTTTAATTATACCTTGGCTGGATGTCTCTTTTCTAATTGAGATTGACGTCTCAATCTTCTCCTAGTCCTAGCATCAAGCCAGCATCCGGCAGTTTCATCATCACTTGAAGCCTCTGGCACATTTTCCTGATTAACAGTTAACACCTGAGGTGCAATCAGGGAGGGAGTTCCAGAAGAGGAAGACGCCTCTGAAACTTCTAATAAATCAGGCTCATCTCTCAGATTCAACTCCTCCTCCTCTCCCAGACTCCTCTCAACGTCGCTCAGTAATGCAGGCTCGAATCTCAATGCCAGATCTTCCTCATCACTCGAGCCTACATCTGCTGACTGAACTGGTTCAAACCTCGGAGGCACAACTTATATGTATATGCGTATGTATGTGTGTATGTATGTATGTATGTATGTATATATGTATGTGGATAGATAGATAGATAGACAGATAGATAGATAGATAGATAGATAGATAGTATTCAGCTTTGTTCGGGTATTTTCCCACGTCATTATAGTTGTGCTTTTAAAGTTGTAGCAATGTTTCAGCAGAATCTCATCTGCCATCAACAGGCTTCTGTATTGAGTTTGTCTGTGAGTCAGACTTTTACAGTTGTTTCAGTTTTAAATTTGGGGCTAGCCTACTGCTGTGCCAGAATGGTTTTTTCTTCATCCTGATTGGTTGGGAGTCTTGCTCTGTGTTTATTGGTCTTGGAGTTTGCTGTGTTCTGCTTGATTGGTGTTTCTAATATCTTCTGTCTGTTTTGTGGCTTTTTTTGTCTTGATTGGCTGGCAACACTGTGTTCCTGTATTGGAGGCTTTTAGTGCAGCTTGGCTCCGAGTAAATGGACGGCTATCATTTATTAGGAAGCTAGGTTTCATCTGGGTGCCTGGTTGGGGTGTGTTTGAGCTGGAGGTATCAGGGGGGATCTGTTTGTGCCCAGGTGTTTGCCTGGCTTGTGGTGTGGAGATTTTTTTGTTTGTGTGTGCAGGCTTCCAAATAATTGACAGTCTGGTGGAATCATCTCTTCTATTCATGCTTTCAGGTCTATTTTTCAATCTCTATGGCTTCTCTGATAATTCTGTGGCTGGGGTTTTCTATAGTGGCTAGGGTTTTGGTGCCATTGAAGTTGATGCTATGACCTGTGGTTTTTTTTAATGTGTTGGACTAGTGAGGAAGTGTGTTCCAGCTTTTTTACTGCATTTTTGTGTTCATCAAGGCAGGTAGTTATTCTTCTATTGGTCTGTCTGATGTATGCGGCAGGGCATGATGTGCAGGAGACTTCATATATGCCCTGGTTTTCCAGGTCAATTTTATCTTTGTGGTTTCTTAGGATGGCTGTTATTTTTCTGTCTATTTTGAAGGCAGTCTTGTGATGTGATGCCTGTGTAGTATCTTACTGATTTTTGTCTGTTGTACCTCTTATGTAGGGCAGGACCGCTGTTCCATAGGTCTGTTCATCTTCTAGGTCTCTATTATGTCTCAGTGTGTTTTTGTGGATCAGGTCTGTGATTTTGCTTTTGTGGAAGCCGTTGGCTCTCAGTACTTTGGTCAGGGTGCATAGTAAAATAAAAACTGAATAATAACTGTAAAATAAAAACACATAAAAACTGAACTATGCACCCTGACCAAAGTACTGATGCATGGCTCAGGCTAAAAGAAAAAAATATATAAATAAATACAAGAAACCAAGAGCAATTGATTTAAGTATATTCTTTCTGTGAATTCACATGGAAACTTCAGTTGCTTTTATTTACTTACAGCTAACCATCAACTGCAAACAAACCAAACTGTCATGACACACAGATAAAAATGATTTAACCTCAATCATATCCTCATTCCATGCTGCCAGTCTTGACTTAAGGGCTGATGAAAGTACGCAAAACATGTATTTTCTATTATGCCATCAAGCATGTATTGTTATTTGCCTTCTCCCACAAGTGCTTTTGTATAACCCTGACAGCAGAATTCTAATAAAATCATTCCATTTTTTTTTATTAGTAGAGTTCAGAAATGCTACAGGTGTAGTTGTTTAAAGATTTTGTGCAAAGGAGATTTATTTTATAATATGAAATACCACAGTCTCAAGTAAAACAATGCTAAAAGTGGCACTAAAGTTTCATAAACCCACACTCAGTCATGATGACTAAAATTTTAATTCATTCACTTCAATTCCTATTTTTGCAAAATTTTAAAGAAATTATTACTCTGAATTAGGTTGCCACTTCTTTCTTACTTGTGGCAATTACCTGGTCTTTAGAGTTTCCATATCATGAAAAGAAAAGATATGGTCCCTTGCTAGATAGGTTAATTTCAGCATAGAGAAGGCAATAGGAAGGAAGAAGGGCGTGGGGGACAAAGATAATAATCATTGCTAATATATGTTATTAGAAGTAGAAATGAATATTTTTTCCATTCTCTAAGGCTAAGTCAACTTTTAGTATAATACTCTGCTGTGGTCTTATAATATTTAATCCTATTTTTTTCAGCAACCATCTAGATCAGGGCTATCAAACTCGCAGCTCCCATGCCAGATACATCATCCCCTGGCCATGGCCATGCCTGGCTTAGCAAAGGGGGAGGAAGGGGGGGAAGGTCACAATACATCACATGACAATGCCGTGATGATGTGAGTTTGACACCCCGATCTAGATAAGCCAAACAGATCTTGAAATCAATATACCTCTGCAGCAGCAGAGTCCTCTTAAAAATTTGATTTTCTAATATTTAGAATTTTTATCAAAATTCATCTGATATGCAATACCAAACACTTTTTCTAAATCCATATATATTGCACTTCTAGTAATGTGTGTGTGTGTGTGTGTGTGTAGTGCTCAATGGATACATTTATATTCATATTTTTTTGTCTTCACTGTGAGTTGTATTGTGTTGGGGGGGGGGTCACGAAGGGAGGCTCAGCCAATACCATTGTACACATGTCATACTCTGACAATAAAGGTTTGAACTTGACATCAATAGATCTCACAGAGAAATTATAATAGGTAATGAAAATCACATACCAAACACTTTTTACCTTTATTGACATTTTAATCAGAGCAAAGTTATCAGTTTCCAAAGGAATTAATAAAGTAATGTAAGTAAGTAGATAAATCAAGTATTCGACATTATTTTATACTGTATAAAATAAAATACAGGAAGTTTTTATTGCAAGTACTGTTTTATTATTTTTTTTCCCCTTTTTAGTAGATATTATATTGCAAAATAAATATAGTTAGATAAAATGTATTACTATCAAAAGGATTAGGGGCATACATTTGCTTACAAACAACTGATTTTCACATAGATACAAGCAACAATATATTAAATTTATCTTCCAAATATTAAAAATGTATTTCACTATCAAACCAGAACAAATTAATTTATCTTTATCAGTGGCTGCAATGTGGAGCAAGTAAAATTTTAGTTAGCTAAAAAAAAATTAGTTATTTCTCATTTTCTTTCTTTGACTTTTATAGATGTAATGGATCATCTATTTAATTTTTCAAATAAATACAATTATATTTTGCTCTCCTGCCAAAGAGAAATGATAATAATAATATGGGGCATAACCTCTTCAGTTATGTATATGATTTACAAGGATAAACATTTAATCAAACTTTCGTTTATAAATACTTTTTTAACATTTTCCAACAATTTATAACATATCAACACTTTCAACAATGTTACAGCATCATCAGCATTCATATTCATATATTAGTTATTATATTGCTTTTATATCTATTGTCTAACCAGGTGTACCAGGTGTTCCAGACTAAATAATATTCTGATTCACCTCTATCTTTTAGCTCTAAGGTCAGCCTGTCCATCTCTGTGCAATCCAAAATCTTTCTTATCACTGTCCCCTCAGATGGTATCCTGTTTCCAGTACTGTGCGTACACAATTCTGGCTGCAGTTGTTATATGTAAAATGATGTATTTTTCTGTCTTAGTATAATGTCTCCTTATTATTTCCAATAAAAACAATTGCAGTCTGAATTCAATTTTTTGTTTTATTATTTCCTCTACCCACTTTTAAATTCTACTCCAGTAACTCTTGGCTTCTGAACATGTCCACCACATGTAGAAAAAGGTGCCCTGTTTACTATTGCATTTCCAACATTTTAGGTTTCTGGTTGGGAACATCTTTGTCAATCTAGCAGGGGGTAAGTGCCATTTATAAAACATTTTGTATATATTTCTTTATACATTGCTGATAATGTTAATTTATAGTTCCCTCCCCACATTTTCCCCAATATTCTAATTCAATGCTGTATCCCAAATTTTTAACCCAAATTATCATTGTTTCATTTACAATTTCTTCCTCCATTTAAAAGTTCAAAAGAAAGTTATATATTTTAGATATCATCTTCTCTTCCATTCCCTGAATTATTTTATCTAGTTTTTGTTGATCCTTATAAAACCTATATTCTTCTTTATCTTTTTTATATCTTGTCTGGATTTGCAAGTAGGGCCACGAATCAATAGGTATACCTTGTTGCTTTAGTTCTTGTGTTGTTCCTTGTAAGTCAATCAGTTCCTTGCATTTTCTCATTTTATTTAAGTCCATTGCATTGGGGTATATCATTGCCTCCATTGTTGATAGCCAGCCTGGTATTTTAGTGTAATGGGGTTTTTTCCCCCCACTCCTGAATAAGTGTGTCACTGATCTGATGTCTTAAGAGTGGTTTTTGCTTTTCCTTTCCCATAAGAATCCATGCCACCCTCATTGCAAGAGGTAATAATATTCTTTTATTATCCAAATTAACCCAATCTCTTATCCATGTCAGGGCCGCTGCCTGATAGTATAATTCCCAGTCCAGAAGTACAAAGCCACCTCTACTTCTTTTATCCTGCATTAATTTCTAGGTTTTTTTCCCTGCCCAAAACAAATTTGACTTTCAGTTAGCTTCAGTTGGCCATTTCCTTCTCAACCAGATATTTTAAATTATCTCTCATTCATTTCTAATTACATATTTGTTGTGTATTTTAAAAAGTTTTGGTTGCTTTTAATATTTCAAGTGGACTTTCAGATTCATTTCCTGTTCAAGCACACACTATTTCTTACTATTTCCAGTGGTGTTTCTTAAGAAGAATGGACAAAATATGTAAAATCTACATTAGAGGAAGATTATCTATGGAAGCTTAGATCATCTACAGTACATATAAGCATAAAAATATCACCATTCAATTATTTTTCATAGTACTTAACATTGAAAGATAAACTCCACTGCAACTCTTCCACAAGCATCTCAAGTCATATACTTTTGAAAATGCAGGCCATGGCCCTTGTAGATAGACTTTTTGCATTAAATAGAAAAAATGGACTTATGATTTGTGATTTTGATAACTAGGAAAAAAAATCCTATATAATAAAAATGAGGGTTTTTTTTTGCAATCATAGCACAAGAAATTACTTCATTTGTAGACTACCACTTATTCCTGTTACATTAAGTTTTACTGCAGTAAAACAATATAATGGCTGTGGATATAGTTTTTGTTTCTACTTTCCTGTATAAAACACTTCTTTTCTGGTATTCTTGTGCGTAGCTTGGCCAAATTGCTAGAAGCAAGCCTTTGCTTTTCCCCCTGCAATTACTTCTCATAATTACTGTAACTGCTTTCTCCTGCAGCTTAGCTTAAAGGTGTTATAACTTTCTTTTAATTCCAAGGCCAATCACTTACTGATGAGCTGGTACTTATGTTGCATAAATGTTTAATAAGAGTTAAATAAGAAGTATAAACAATAAGTATGGTTAATTAGAAGCATGAGATATTGCAATGGAATTCCATATAGGCTGGGAAATCCTTTCAAGAATGAGCTTTAGCATAGGCCAGCTTTGGAATGGTGCCATGCATTTGCTGTAATATTTGGGGAACATCTGCCACTGACTACTGGTGTGATAAGAAGACAGCACTTTCCAGTTGAAAGGAATGTTAGGCTGTTTATTTCAGTCTTATCACCTTTAGTTGATAGTTACTGCCTATACTAGACTTTGTCACTTAAGTTATACTTTTCCTTCGCTTTGCATCTCCCACTGTAGTACTTTTGCAGTCAATTATTCTTAATGTATCCTTTCATCTTCATCCTCATTTCATGCTTATCTATATCTACAAATCTCCTGTTCACATTTTACTGTTTCAAAACATCCAGGATACATGCACATCGCAGATAGGTCCATAGATATTGATACTAGCTTTAAAAATTAAGTATTTGTAGATCAAGGCTTCCGTACAGACAGAAGTGCTGAGTAAGGTACCAAACCAATCCTACCCATTTTGAATGGCAAATGCATGAAGATTTTCATTCTTTTTTTAATTAAAATAATTACTTAGTAACATGGATAACAAAATAGACTGGATTTATATCTATCCATATTCTTGTAATTAATCAAACTCTATTATAGGATTGTCCTAGAAGACAAGCTACCATGTCAATCAGCCCCATAGATATATATGTGAGTAGACAGTGGTGCAGTCTGAGAGTGCAAAAGACATTCTCTTGGACTTTGTGCAGTTAAGTTGTGAAATGTAACAGATAAACTGCTGAACCAGAGCATTTTGATTCAAGCATAAGGTAACTACTGGTTAACTCGAGGGGAAAAATAAGAAGAAAAATAGTTTCAGGAAAAAATATCTCTCGTATCACATTTCAACTGACATTGAATCAAGGAAACAGAATTGACCTCTTTTGACCTTGATATTGCCTAGTAACTTGCCTTTGGATCTTCCATTTCCTTGCTCTGTTGAATTCATCAACCAACAAAGGTTAGTTGATAGCAGAAAGCTGGGGAGTAAATATTTATCTTTATATCTTATAGAGGTGAAAATACAGATTCAGATGAATAGATGTTATAAATCTTCATATATTTCAGTTCATATTTTTAAAGAGAATTAATATGATGGAATTAAAAACCAACATTCCCTAATTATTTTATTTCAGCTGGAATGAGAAGCTACATAAAGTGACAGTGTAAATAATGTTTACTTTGCATGTATTAAGCAGTTATTGTCCCATATTTTAGTATCAGATCTTTGCATTAAACTCTACACTTGGTATCTTTGGTCTAACTAACAGTAGCAAGCTGTACACATATGTCATATAGAGTTAGATCTCTTACCTTGTTTATTTCAGTTTGCCAGCATCTATTTGTTGAAATTGATAGGTAATGGATGTTAGACTTCAGTAAACAAAAAGTAGATTAAAATGTGCAGTTATGATTTATAACACAAACGAATGTATGCTGATATTAACCACTAAGTAATAAGTAGAAGTTATTTAAAGCCATATTGGGTGCTTGTAATTTAATTTTTAAATAGAGTAGGATGAGAAGGTAAATACTCCATTTTAAAAATCTCTATCCAGTCTTTAGAGAGTATAGAATGAGTTCTACTACCTTATAAAAGTAACCAAGAGGTCCATTGCATTAATATACCCAGAAAGTAATTTACTAAATGCTTTTTTTTAATAGTTCATTTATCTTGCTGTAATGGTTTTTCATTTATACAAAAGACAAACACTGAAGTAAATAGAGTGTCCTTCTTATTGGTTATCTTTTAAGACAAAATACAAACTTATCTTTCTTTTGGCTTTATTTGCTATGAAATGTTTGTGGCAGTACTTATTATAAGGATAAATAGGTGGTTCCTTAATAGTGCTGAAATTGTCTCTTTATATCTACCATAGAAGTGTTTCCTTTTTATTCTGCAGTATTTCTAAATGGGAACAAATACCCCTTTGAGGCTTATTGGCTCTACGGGATATTCCAACTTAACAAAAAATTATGCTATCTTTCAAGGAAAGTTGTAGGATTTTAAGCAAACTTCCTACTCAATATACTTCATTGCCACAAATCCATCAGATTCCCTGGTGACTACCAAGAAGAGATGAGAAAATAAACTAAAGTTTTCACATCTGTCTTTTTGGACAGGTGTTTCCTCTTTGCTACAATTTTTCTTTTTCTTTTTTAATATATTCTATGGAAATGATGTTGACTGAAACCATCTGTTCTCAAAATATTAAATATGCTTCAGAATGTTGTTACAGTCACTTCATTTCCCTGCATGGCTTTACTGTAAGCTTCTTCATTCTTGAATCCATAACTAAGAATTTTTTTTAGTAAAAAATACCACAATAAAAGCTAATTCAAGCTAAGACCAAATGAAAAGAAAAATATAATGGGTAGAAAATGAAAAAAATGGAAAAAAGAGAAAAGAAAGAAAAAATAAAAATATAATAAAGAAAAATATAGATAGATATAGATAGATATAGGTATAGGTATAAATCAGTGGTGGGATTCAAAAAATTTTTACTACCAGTTCTGTGGCCTTGGCTTGGTTAGCATGGTGTGGCTTGGTGAGCGTGGCAAGGGAAGGATACTGTAAAATCTCCATTCCCACTCCACAACAGGAAAAGGATACTGGAAAATCCATTCACTTCCCCACCCCACTAACTTGCTTTCCAGCTCCGTTCTCCTGTGCACAGCAACAAAAGAAGACCTAGCCGATCAGCTGGGACTCGAGAGGCACAGAATAGATGGGGGTGAGGCCAGTTAGAGGTGGTATTTTCTAGTTCTCCAAACTTTTCAAAATTTTTGCTACCAGTTCTTCAGAACTGGTAAGAAACTGCTGAATACCACCTCTGGAATAGCTATAGGTCTAGATAGACATAGATACAGATAATACAGATATAGATAGAAATGAATTCCCCCATCATCACGAGTATAAAAAAGAATAAATTATAACAACTGACCTCTTCTTCCTATAGCCCATCTATTATCTGCAAACAAATCCTAAAATTCTCTACATTTCAGTCCTGATGTCAGCAAAAGTTTATCAAAGGTTAATAGAGATAAAACAATTTTGATCAAATAAACCCAATTTATAATTCTTCTCAAATATTGTCCTAGCATTTTTCCCTTTCTCACAAAATTTAGTTTAGTTTATTATTATCCATTTCAATTATTAAAAGTATTTAAATGTTATTCCCCTTCAATTATGATTTTAGTTTTTTCTAGGTATCTCTAGTATAGATAACTCCCATTTGTTACTGTATGACTGTAACTTTGTCGCTTGCATTCTTATGATTTATATTGACTGTTTCCTAGTATGATTTGATTGCTTATTGTATCCTATGACTATTATTAAGTGCTGTACCTTATGATTCTTGACTCTTGACTAATGTATCATTTCCTTTATGTACACTGAGAGCATTTGAACCAAGACAAATTCCTTGTGTGTCCAATCACACTTGGCCAATGAAGAATTCTGCTATCTATCTAGTGTACATTTTTAAAGTCTTTTAAAAATTCAAAACAAGAGCATTTTCTCATAAGAAGGATTATTTTAATTACTTTCAAAATCTTATTTAAAATGTATCTGGACCCTAATCCATTTGTAACTTTCTAATATTAAAGATTTAATCACCCTTTTGCTTTTTATTAAAAAAAAAGTTCTTGTATTTCTCCAAGTAAGGATGAAGTAAACTTGCCCAATGTTTATAGTCTTTTCAATCAAAAGATTTCTGAGCCTTGCAATACAGAGTTGCTTTAATAAATAACAATCAACAGCAAAAAGGTATTTACTATGTATTCATGCACATTAGTCTCATACAGTTAACATATGTGGTTAGAATTGTAACTTTAATAAATAATTAGATTTATGACCTGAGTTTTATGGAGAAGATCCAGAGAGTGGATGTAGTATTTTCTCTCTCAATTTTGATGCTCACAACGTTTTGAGGTTGTGCTACAAGACAATAATGGATCCAAAGTTTAATGTGAAATTAAACTGAACTCAACCTAGCTACTGTAGTATACTTTTGCATTTAAAAGGCTACTTTTCTACATACTTTCTAGGTACTGAAATGAGTGAACCTGAGGCTGATGTTATAGCTGAGGTGAAACTTATTAAATACATCTAATGGGAAATTCTGCAGTTTCCACTCAATTCTTCAATTTCCACCTCAAATCCATTTTTTTAAAACAAAAATCTTAATTTTTATAAAGGGAATACTGAAAAACTAACAGTATTCTTTTTTCCACTGTCTTATGCAGACTTATCCAACTCTCAGGAGGCACATATTTCACAGTTATGTATCATTTGTTTCCAGATCTTCCTGAATATGGAACTCTTTTACTGTTCTTTCACTGCTAAACTATTTATTGACCTACTTTAATGGATGTGCTTAAAGTTTAACAAATCCCTGATTAGTGCTAATAAGGACAACTACATGTTTTACTAAATGACTTGTCTTTTAAAAATAAAAATAGCATTGAGATTATTAATAGAATATTATTTGGGGTAGTGTTAGAGCAGTATTTCTTAACCTTGGCAATGTTAACGTGTGTGAATTTCAGCTCCCAGAATTCCCCAGCCAGCCATGTATTACACCATCCACAAAACCTTTGCATCATCAAGACAGAAACTAGCTGTTGGTCTGATGAGTAGCAACCATCTAGTCTCTCTGTCTTAATTTTATATATTATGTAGAAGTATGTGTTAGAGTCTTTTAAAATTCTGACATGTCAGAATGTTAACCAAAAGATGATTGACATGAATGAATTATGCATCATGAACAGTCAGCAAGGGGGGTGGGGGATCAGTTTTATATATTAGATTCTGGAAATGCAACACTATTGAGTTCCAAACTGTCATTAGACACAAAGCATCTATCAAATTAGTTTGCCCATATAATAGCTATATATTATCATTAATGCATTAGCATTTGTTTATTAAATAAATAATAGCTGAAAGTAATTAAGGATGCTGTCAGGCCATACCATAAGATATTTATATACTGTCGTTGCCTTCTAACCCCATCTAGTGGCCAGAGAGAGAAATATTTCCCAAGTATGTTGTTTGAAGCTGATCTCATCCATTTACCCATCAGCCCACACTCTCAAACAAGTGCATGCTGGAAAGTCAGACTCCATTTCCTTTAGCATTTGGAAAAGGCAGAAGCAGATGGTCATCCAAAGACAAACTCACATCCCACACAGATCATCACTGGTGAGATTTAAATTGCTTGTATTTATTAATTTTTATGTTCAGCAGTAACATAATACTGTCTATCTTGTATTTGGTTCTCATTGTATGTATCCCTATTTTCCCCAATTTCACCACATCCTGTTCAATAGCATTCAGATCTATGTACATGTCTGTTTTATTGGAAAAT